TGTGTGTGTGTGTGTGTGTGTGCGTGCGTGCGTGCATGCGTGCGTGCGTGTGTATGTATGTACTTGTGTTTCGGTATTTGAAGTGATCACAGGTTGATTGATAGACATAAATTGCAACAGGACAGAATCTTAGTCGGACAGATAGAAGGAAACAGAGAGAGACTGATCGACGGACAAAACAGACACACGCACAAGCAGACAAATGGATTCAGGAATCAGATCAATAGGTTGGAGTAAACACAACCAGCTACTGTGTACGTTTTGGAAGCATTGGCTAAAAATGTCTAGTGCATTAGATCTATGTCATTCTGTTGTGGACATTTACGTCAAATATAAATAAATGTCAATGTTTTTACTGATCTCGGAAGGAGCTTGTTATTGCTATAGTGTGCGTGTGTGTGTGTTTGTGTGTGTGTGTGTGTGTGTGTGTGTGTGTGTGTGTGTGTGTGTGTGTGTGTGAGAGAGAGAGAGAGAGAGTCAGGAGTCCATAGGATGGGGCAAATATGGGGTAGGGCCAGAAAGTGGAGACTAAATAAGACGACATAACATGGTTAGAGTTAGAGAGCATGAAAAGATGAACATTTTATAGGACATTTTCCATTTCTGTCAGGTTTCGAACCCGGGATCTATTGAATAATAATAATAATAAATAATAAATTGCATTTATATAGCATAGCGCATTTCCACAAAGAAGTGCTCAATCTAGCATCTGCGTTTGTCGCGGCCGTGACCCGCGAATCGCGGCAGCGATATTTGGAATTTTTTGGTATTAACCGGGATTGTTGCATTTTCAAAAAAGAAAAAAACCCCAGCAAAGCTACTTCATGACATATTAGACATGTATTTTGATAAGTTTTAAGATGTCCATGTGTATCTATTTTCATGTGGAGAATATAAGTAGGCCTACATTACATTACATACTATTTATATTGCTGTCCTTCTTTTATTTTTCCCTCTTTGTTGTGTTTTAATTTGTTGGTGTGTTAATTTTTCTAAAACTTGTTCTGGTGATTTGTTTTTCTTTTTTTTGTGTGTGTGTGTTTATACAGCGTAATATCATTTAATATGATGCTGCTCCTACCCTTTCAAAAATATAATGTGTTATATGTTAGAGCGTGTCTCCACCAAAAAGGAATACTGACACTGGCACGCCCCAATTGTGTGGTGATTCCATAATTTAACATGTAATATCCTGTAGGCCTACTTTTTCTTGTATTATACACACGTTTAGGGTTAAAACGGTCAATCTTCGGATAGGTGGACAAGCGCCCTGATTTGTTAATTTTTGAGGTTATTTATCCGTGCTGTTCTAATTTGGATTTCATTCTGTCGTGAAACCTTTATTTTTCACGTTTTTATCCTCTGGGTGACTACAAATGATATTCTGGATGCTCAAAACAGAGCACAAGAAATTCTAGTGTTTTAAATTGAGTTACCTCCATCCACATGTTGCTATATATATAGGCCTACGTCGTCACAGAGAGCTGAAAGCTTGAAAATTAATGGCAACTTTTTTCACTTTTGTGGCAACTTTTGGCAACTTTTGGACAAACAAATGGCAACAAACGCAGATGCTAGCTCAATGCGCTGTACAATAATACAAAGAACACATGAAGCGCACAGCTCCTATAGTAATCCCCCCCCCTCTCTCTCTCTCTCTCTCTCTCTCTCACTCACTAGTCTCACTTTGTCTCTGTCTCTGTCTCTCTCTCTCTTTCTCTGTCTCTCTCTGTCTCTCTCTCTCTGTCTCTGTCTCTGTCTCTCTCTCTCTCTCTCTCTCTCTCTCTCTCTCTCTCTCTCTCTCTCTCTCTCTCTCTCTCTCCAGTACATCCTTGAATAAAGACAATCCCACAAAGCTTACCCAGACACCCTCGCACACATTGATGAATTCACACAGTCATAAATTCTTACTGAACAGAAAAGCATGAATAAACGATACTGAGAGAACATAATGGATACTGAGAGAACATAA